AATGTGCAATCTACTTCGCTGTTTTTAGGATTTAAAATTGAAACCACTTTTGATAAATCAAGGCTAGTTTCGATGGAAAGTCACTCTAAGTAAATGGCAATCTATAGATTTGTATTTCCTTCTATAGGTATAAATACCCTTTGTTATATGTTGTCTACTTACAAATAGGTTAAACTGGTCAGATTCTGGAACGCTTTCTCAGGAATAAGCTTCAACATGTTACTTGACAAGAATCTAAGGAGAAAAAAATTTAACTCCACCCTCTCAGCTATGAAAATAATTTTTACTTATTTTAATGTGTGATATGTGATAGAAAAGTATTCTCTGCCGCAGAAAATTGGACAACAATAAATAATCAAGCTCGCTGTTTTTCGGATTTAGAATTTAAACAGCTTTTAACTATTCAAGGCTGGTTTCGATCTAAAATTACTTTGAATTAATGGAAATCAGGGGATTTGTAGTCCCTTCTGTTAGTATAAATTCCCTTTGTTAGATTTTGTCTACTTAAAAGTCGTTTAAACTCGTCAGATTCTGGAACGCTTTCTCAGGAATAAGTTCCAACTTATTATTTGACACGTCTCTAAGGAGAAAGAAATTTTAACTCCACCCTCTCAGCTATGCCAATGGTTGCCTCTTATGTCACTGTGTGATATGTGATACCAAAAATACTGTATGCCTCATACAATTGGACAACAATGTACAATCTAGCTTGCTGTTTTCAGGATTTAAAATTGAAACCACTTTTGATAAATCAAGGCTGGTATCGATCGAAAATCACGTTAAGAGTTATGCTTAGGCACTTAGTGGAGTCAACTTTATTAATTAGTTCATCATCAATTTTAATTCTTAATGACTGATTAGGTTTAAGTTTACTGGAATGAAAAAAAAATAAAATAAAATAAAGTTAAATTTTTGTTATAATAAGTGCTAATCGATTACATTTCATCCATCCAGCAACAGATTTTTGCTCACGAGTGTGGGTTGTTTCAAGGTAGCCAAGGTTTTTGCTAGAAAAGTAAATTTTAGTATCATCAGCAAATAGATGGAATGTTAGTAAGCCAGAAGTATTGGGCTAATTATTTACTTATAGCAAGAATAAAAGGGGTCCTCAAATAGATCGTCGTGGGACACCACAAGTCACTGGTAATGAAGGTGCGTTATAACCAGTAACATTTATAAATTGTTCTCTTTGGAATAAGTAAGATTTAAACCAATCAAGCAAAAAACACATCTTATTCCATAATGCACCTCTTAGGATTTAAAATTGAAACCACTTTTGATAAATCAAGGCTAGTTTCGATGGAAAGTCACTCTAAATTAATGGAAATCTATAGATTCGTATTTCCTTCTATAGGTATAAATACCCTTTGTTATATGTTGTCTACTTACAAGTAGGTTTGTACACTCAAGTTCGCAGTTTTTCGGATTTAAAGTTAAAATCACTTTTGACAAATCAAGGCTGGTTTCGAACAAAAATGACTTTAAATTAATGGAAATCAGGGGATTTGTAGTCCCTTCTGTTAGCATAAATACCCTTTGTTAGATGTTGTCTACTTAAAAGTAGTTTAAACTGGTCAGATTCTGGAACACTTTCTCAGGAATAAGCTCCAACTTGTTATTTGACACGTCTCTAAAGAGAAAAAATTTTAACTCCACCCTCTCAGCTATGCCAATGGTTGCCTCTTATGTTACTGTGTGATATGTGATACCAAAACTATTCTATGCCTCATACAATTGGACAAGAATGTGCAATCAACCTCGCTGTTTTTAGGATTTAAAATTGAAACCACTTTTGATAAATCAAGGCTAGTTTCGATGGAAAGTCACTCTAAATTAATGGAAATCTATAGATTCGTATTTCCTTCTATAGGTATAAATACCCTTTGTTATATGTTGTCTACTTACAAGTAGGTTTGTACACTCAAGTTCGCAGTTTTTCGGATTTAAAGTTAAAATCACTTTTGAAAAATCAAGGCTGGTCTCGATCAAAAATCACTTTAAATTAATTGAAATTGAAAGATTAGCATTACCTTCTATTAGCATAAGTACCCTTTGTAATATGTTGTCTACTTTCAAGGGGGCTCAACTCGTCAAGGCTGGTTTCGATCGAAAACCACTTCGAATTAATGGAATCTAGAGATTCATACAATTGTTATATGTTGTCTACATAAAATTAGGTTAAACTGGTCAGATTCTGGAACACTTTCTCAGGAATAAGCTTCAACATGTTTCCTGACAAGCCTCTTAGGCCAAAACATTTTAGCAAATGGTTGCTTTTTATTTTACTCTGTCATGTGTGATACAAAAGCATTCTATGCCTCAGAAAATTTGACATCAATGAACAATCAAGCTCACTGTTTCTTTGGAGTTTAAGTTGAAACCACTTTTAACAAATGAAGGCTGGATTCGATCAAAAATTACCTTAAATTAATGAAAATCTAGACATTCGTATTCCCTTTTATAGGCATAATAATACCCTTCGTTATATGTGGTCTACTTACAAGTGGGTTAAACTCGTCAGATTCTGGAACGCTTTCTCAGGAATAAACTCCAACCTGTTACTTGACAAGTATCTAAGGAGAAAAAATTTTAACTCCGCCCTCTCAGCTATACATATGGTTGCCTTTTATGTCGATGTGTGATATGTGATACAAATGATATTCTGTGCATAATACAATTGGACAGCAATGTAAAAAGAAGTTCGCTGTTTTTAGGATTAAACTTAAAATTACTTTTAATAAATCAAGGCTGGTTTCGATCGATAACCACCTTCAATCAATGGAAATCTAGAGGTTCGTATTCCACTTAATAGGCATAAAAAATCACTTCGTTACATGTGGCTACTTACAAGTGGGCTAAACTCGTCAGATTCTGGAACGCTTTCTCAGGAATAAGCTCCAAATTGTTATTTGACAAGTCTCTAAGGAGAAAAAAATTTAACTCCACCCTCTCAGCGATGCCAATGGTTGCCTCTTATGTTACTGTGTGATATGTGATACTAAAACTATTCTATGCCTCATACAATTGGACAAGAATGTGCAATCAACCTCGCTGTTTTTTGGATTTAAAATTGAAACCACTTTTGATAAATCAAGGCTGGTTTCGATGGAAAGTCACTATAAATTAATGGAAATCTATAGATTCTTATTTCCTTCTATAGGTATAAATACCCTTTGTTATATGTTGTCTACTTACAAGACGTTTAAACTCGTCAGATTCTGGAACGCTTTCTCAGGAATAAGCTCCAACTTGTTATTTGACACGTCTCT